TTGGATAAGTTTGTGTTCGTCTACTTGGACGATATCGTCGTCTACAGCCAAACGCTCGAGGAGGATATCGAGTACCTTCGAACAATTTTCAAGGTTCTCAGGGAGAACACTTTGTTGGTGAAGAGGGAGAAGTGCTACTTTGCTCCAACGGAGATCTTGTTTTTAGGGCATCGAATCGATGATGGCTCCATTGGGATGGACCAATTAAAGGTGCAAGCTGTTGCGAAATGATGAACTCCAATGAAGGTGTCAGATTTAAGATCCTTCCTTGGTTTCGTCAACTACTATCGACGCTTCATAGCGGGGTATTCGAAGCGTGCAACTCCACTGACGGAGTTACTGAAGGAGCAACCTTGGAGGTGGTCTGACAAATGTGAAGCTGCATTCCTAGATCTAAAGGCTGCTGTGTTGGAAGAACCGATGCTCAAATTGCCAAACTATGGGAAGCCCTTCGAAGTCTATACAGATGCTTCAGACTTCGCTATTGGGGGAGTACTCATGCAGGAGGGTCATCCGGTGGCCTACAAGAGCCACAAGCTCAACGAGGCCGAGCGGCGGTATCCAGTGCATGAGAAAGAGATGACAATGAAGGTCCACTGTCTACGAGTTTGGCGGCACTACCTTCTTGGATCGCGATTTGCGTTGAGGACAGACAACATCGCTTTGAGCTATTTCCAAACTCAAAAGAAACTCTCCCCAAAGCAAGCACGATGGCAAGACTTCCTGGCTGAGTTTGATATGGCAATGGAGTACAAGCTTGAAAAAGTAAATGTCGTGGCCGATGCATTGAGCCGGAAGGTGGAGCGAGTGAACACCATACAATTGGAGGGCAGAGGCCAAGCAAGTCAGTTGCACTCCAACTTCCTTTCTAGGATCAGGGATGGACTATATAGTGATCCCCAGGCAGTAACCCTGATACAACTCATTAAAGAAGGCAAGACACGATGATTTTGGGTCTAGGAGAGACTCGTTTACACAAAAGGGAATAGGGTTTATGTTCCTCGAGTGGCAATTTGAGGCATGAGCTCTTAAGAGAGTGTCACAATTCCCTTTGGGCTGGACATCCGGGCATTCATAGAACCTTGGCTCTCGTGGAGAGGGCCTTCTACTGGCCGAAGATGAGGATTGATGTGGAGGAATATGTTCGAACGTGCCTCACTTGCCAACAAGACAAGGTGGGGCAACGGAAGCCGGTGGGGCTTTTAGAGACGTTGCCCGTACCAGAAAGGTCGTGGGAGAGCATTTCCTTAGACTTCATATCAAGCTTGCCGACAGTAGGGGGACTGAGATCGATACTCATAGTGGTCAATCGATTTTCAAAGTTTGCAACTTTCATTACTTCGCCCCTACACTATTTAGCAGAGGAGGTGGCCAAGCTGATGATGAAAAATGTGGTGAAGTATTGGAGAGTCCCGCACAATATCATCAGTGATCGAGACGCTCGGTTCCTAGGACGATTCTGGACCCCGAGCTATTCAAATTGTTGGGGTCTAAGTTATACTTCTCCACAAGCCTCCACCCCCAGACGGACGACCAAATCGAAAGGATAAACTCGCTCTTAGAGCAATATCTTCAGCACTACGTGAGTGCCAACCAACGAGATTGGGTGAAGCTATTGGACATAGCTCAATTCTCCTACAATTTGCAACGGAGCTCTGCGTCCAACAAGAGCTCCGTCGAGATCATCACAGGATAACAACTGTCAACCCCTCACACCTTGGCTAATGGATATACTGGGAGTAGTCCGTCAGCATATCACTTTGCAAAAGAATGACACCGAAATGCAGATATTGCGCGGGCTTACTTGGAGAAGGCGGCCAAAGAGATGAAGAAGTAGGCAGACTCGGGAAGGTGACCGCAGGAGTTCAAAGTCGGCGATTTAGCATTGGTAAAGCTCCAACCAGCATCACTCCAATTCTTTAGGGACAAAATACACAAAGGATTGGTGCGCAAGTATGAAAGGCCCTTCCCAATTATCAATAGGGTGAGCAACATCTCCTACAGGTTGCAGCTGCCGGCGTGGCTCAAAATTCATAATGTTTTTCACGCCAGCAACTTGAAAACCTACCACTCAGATCCGCAAGATGCTTCCCGAAGTGTTCCAACTCGGCTACCCCCTACTAGATCCTCCTACGAGAAGCGAGTTGAAACCATTATGGCGGATCGCAAGATAAAGCTACCCAATGGAGCTGAGCAGACCGAGTACTTGGAGAAGTGGCGAAAGCTTCCCCGAACTGAAGCCAGTTGGGAGCCCGAAGACGCACTACGACATGAAGAAGCAATCATCAACAACTACCAACAAGCGTCGACGAGGGCGTCGACAGTTTACGTAGGGGAGAATGTCACGAACGATCGTCGCGCACTCGCAACAACTTCATTCAACGAACTGTTCGTCGCTTTTGCATGCTTGAACAGAGACATGGCAGCCTGTTTTGCCTTGGTTTTGTGTGTTTTTGCTTATAAAAATACATGTTCGAACAGGTTGCAATGCACAGTGCGACCGCTCACCACGCCAGGCCAAAAAGCCCCAAAATGGCTCAGTTTTCGTGTGCCGCAGGCTGTTTTCTACAGCCCACTGCAGCGTGCGAAATGTCAGCCATCTCAGCACCTTGGAACCCCCTGAGTGGCACAGGGCTGGATGGGGCTTCGGTATATAGTCGGGCGTTGAAAAATCTTCATAAGTTCGCACGTTAACTTGACGAGAACTTGCCTTCGCGCCCGACACCCGGTGAGCAGTTGTTTGTGGACTTGCAACTATTCGTTCTACCTTCTAAAGTCCTTGTTTTCCTCCTTCCTATCTTTTCTACTGTGCACACAAGGTGCTTATTGAATTGCTTGTAAAGTTTCCCTCTTCGCGAGATGCCGGGACTTGTCCGTCGCTCGTTTTCAATCTAATCAACTTTCTGTTTAACAGGTCCTTTGGGACCTGTACGAGGTTACAACTAGGCTGAACCTTTGCAGACGCATATGTCGCAAGAGCGCCTCAAGACTTAGGCAATCCTAGCTAAGTCCGAGAAGTTGGCGTAAGGGTGCATCGCGACTTAGGCAACTCAAGCTAAGTTCGCGTCTTTGCCGCAAGGGTGCCTCACGCCTTAGGCAATTCTAGCTAAGGCCATGACAGAGCGGTGGCGAGCAGTGGCAGCGACAGCGACGAGCAGGGTTAGGGTTAGGAAGTTGCGAGATGAAGGCTGATATCGGTGCTTTAGTTGGTTCGATTGAACCAACTAAAGCACCGGAGACCGAACCAGACCTAAAACGCTAGTTCGGTCGCCTGGTTTAACCCGGGCGCTCGCCCGAAGCGCCCAGTGACTGGGCTCGGGCGAGCGCCCAAGAGGCGCCTCTTTGAAGCGCACCGCCCGAGCACCTACTGAAATCACTGATGAGTAGTATTTTATATGGAAGCAGAATCGAAAAAGGATCTAAGAATGTCTTGCATTGGACAAGGAGTTTCCTCTCTCCCATATGATTTAGTTCACAAAGACCTCATCATAAGAGAGAAGGGTGAACAAACACACTTGAGATCCACAATGCAGAGTTGTATGATCATTTAAAAAGGATGAATAGCTACCAAAAAGCAAATTATTAATTTTCATTCCAATAGTTAAATATTAGGTTTATAAATTTAGCACTTGTGCAAGTCTAGGAACAAAAGCATCTTACCCTCTTATGCATACTCCGGGTGTCTAGCTCACTTTGTGGTGCTCCACTTAATATCCTAGGTTTTCCTTATTTAATATCAATTGGGAAGAAAATCACAGTCAGCATTGAAATTAATATCAACGATAGTCAGAGTCAGCAACTCTCCTAGGTTTTCCTTATTTAATAACAATTGGGAAGAAAATCAAGTTGGCCTTGAAATTATCATGAAACATAATCTAAACATAATGTAACAAAATAAAAGTAATCCACGAAACAAACCATCAGCTTCCACTAGGAATCCAAGTTGCCTCCAGCATCCAGAGGTCATGGACCAACCATAGACCCTATTTCATAAGTATTTAAGTGGAAACATTTTTGTCCACTCTCCAGTATGTCAAGAAGGGCAATCCCTCAATCCTAGAACCTGACCAAAGTTTCAGATGGAAAAATGGAGAGAACTCTCTTTCCTAGTTCTCTTGTATTCGTATCATCCAAGGTTTGCAATTACGGGTTCTGGGCCAATGTCGATCCATGCCAGACCAGTACAAGTCAGGTCCATTTGTGAAGGAAGAGGAAGAAGAAGGTGAGGAGGAAGAAGAAGAGGAGGAGAAACTGGAGGAGAGGAGTACTGGGGTGAGCAGTGGACATGGAAGCAGAGAGGGGCAACAGGCTCACAGCCAGCAGCAAGCGATGTGCCTGCAAGCAATGGCAGGTGGACAGGCAGGTGGCAGCAGGTAGCGGAGAGAAGATGATGTGGGCAAAGGCAATTCTTCACGAGCCTTAGATGCGTCTTTTAACACATCCTTCAACTTAAAAGAAAACAAACTGCTTTCTTCTTCAAACCGTACTGGATTGCTGGGTTTTAAGCTGTCCACATCCAGCTAGGCGGTCAGACCAATAAATAACTGTTGAAATGTATCGAACTGTGCAAAACTGTGTTCCTTTGTATTCTCTAGAACCCCAATCCTGGTTGTCCCATATTTGTACTCTCCAAAATCACAAAAATCATACGAATGTGATCCCAAGTCAACCCCTTCCGATGGTACTATAGACACATTCAAAAGGAGCCATAGATAGTATGGTTGGATGAGGTGAGTCGATTATGATTAACAGTGTAAGGAAAGATAGAATAGACCTAAGAAAACCTTAATCAGTAAAGAACTGATTACCTAACTCATATTAGTACCTCTCTTCCCAAGGTGTAAAAACTTAGCAGTAACACTTAAAGATTCTGGTTTTAACTTGCTAACTTACAGTTAAACAACTTAACATTTGGAAACAAAATCAGATTGTATTCAAGAGAACAAAACATGAGGTTAATTTTAGACAGCAACTAATGTTGTTCAACAAGTAAAATTTACCTCTGGGCTCCCACTCTCAAGAAAAATTCCCTTTACTCTACTTTCTGCAGGATTTAAACACTAACATGTAAATAAAAATATTAAACTATTAAATTGAAGAAATGGAAAAAGAATTTTTGTAGAAGCAAAAAGGAAACAAGAAACTTCCAACAATTGGATCCCAATTTCAGCTTGAAAGTACCAGAATCGAGCCAAAATGTAGCAACTTTTAAGTCAAAATCTCCAACTTCAATTGTATCACCAACTGTTTAAAATAATTTAAAGAGTGAAAACAAAGAAATAACTCATTCTTTGAATGAAGTTTGCAAACCTTATGTTTAAAAATTTTACCATTATCTCCATAAAATTGCCACCAAATTTTCCTTGAACTTCCTTCATATTCAAAAACCCTCGAGTAGAAGAATGGCAGGTAGTCATATCTGAATCAAATCAAGGCATTAAAAGTTAGTGAGAAAATGAATGATCATCAAAAGGCAAATATGTCATATGCGACAGCAATTGAATTCAGCTTACGGTTGAGTATGTGCAGTAAGAAGTGTCCTGACACAATGCTGTGCTGACTTTCGAGCATGATCAACATGTTCCACTCGTGCCATTCGATCATAGATCTAACAGGAATCACTAAAATATAGTACCAGCTTTATATAAGAGGTAAAAGAAAAAACAAGAACACATACCTTTAATGGAAATGCTGCTACATCTCCTATAGCAAAAATACCAGGTATGCTTGTTCGGAAAAGGCTATCAACCTGATACAAAGGTGAGATTCTTAGTTTGATAATCTTCTACATGTGAAAGGCAATTATTAACATTCAATACTGAGTGGATTATTTCTGGACTGCCCAAATTGTCTGATAATAAAATTTTGCACTTTGTCCCAAAGTTTGACATATCGAGCAGTACATACCAGTCTGCCAACTGACTGGTACACAGACCAGCCCGTTTTGAGTGATACACAGAAAAGGGTCAGATATCGGCCAGTACAGGTGATGTACCAGACGATACGGTTGAAACTCATGTTACATCAGTCAAAACAAGTCGATTCTGGTAAGAATTTGACTGACACCAACTCAAATGGGTCAGTTTTGACCCCAACAGTCAAATTGACCATTGGGGCCCCTTTTGGGGCTTTAAATTCCCTCCTCCCTCCCTCTTTCACTCACTCTCATTCTCATTCTCACTCTCTTTTTCACACTCTTGCTTGTGATTAAAGTTCCTAATTGGCAATTAGTGATAATCAAACTATTGATTTGGATAAAAGAGGGGTTGGAACTCGAGATCTAGTGGAATTTCTCTTCAATTTTAAGGTATTTAGCGTCTTTCTATATTTTATTTATCATTTCATGTAATTAGACGTGTATAAATGTATGTCTACAAAGATCAAACATGATGGAGATCATTATCTCGTGTTAGTCCCAATTAAGTCTACTGTGTCACATTTAGGCCCAAATTGGGGACATTTAAGGCTAATCACAGCCTTATGCATTTATTTATGCTTCATATGCACAATATTCTTAATTAAATACAAAAAGATTACCATTAAATTAGGACAAAAAATTTAAAAAAATTGAATTTTTTATCATTTTTCAGCCTTTTTCTGAAAACCAGTATGTACCAGCATACCGAGATATGGTATGCTGGTACTGACTAGTAAGTACTGGTCTGACCATGAACTGATACCACCTGTCGGCATGGCATGGTGGTACTTGCTTTGTTCAATCTAACTATTTGTGTTGATTTTCTAATGGACTTCAAATGAATGTTTCACTTGTCACACCAAAGATCTGAGTCATGGATTGGCATTCCATTAGATAAGGGCATATTGATAATTTTCAGCATAACACACCCTTCTCCCACAGCACAGGCCAAATTTTGATCTGGTCAAACCAGGCCACCTCCTGCAGAGATTGGCATGGCACAGACTGGTATCATTCTATCAGCAAATGTCATCTATATGGCAATCCGTGTCTAAATCATACCAATTTAACATTCTAACTAGTCAATATAGTACATTATGAATTGAACATTTTTCATACTAAATGTCTACCACTGTGTTTGAGGATATAGATAGGATTTTGATGCTTCATATTTCAAGAGGACTATCTTCGAAAGAGAAAAGAGAGAGAAGAGAGAGGAAAGCTTAAGGAGGAAGAAAGAAGAAGAGAGAAAGATTGAGAAGAGAAAGGGCGTACCCAGTGCATGAGGCTCCCACTAATGCGGGGTCTAGGGAGGGTCAATATACGCAGCCTTACCTTTAAATATTTAATGAGAAGAGAAGAGACAAATAAAAATTATAGAGAGAATCACTAACATTGGTCAAGTTCCAACTCCTACAAGAGCTTATAGGATGTTTAAGTATAACATCTCTCCCTCTCTAGGAATGTGACACTAAATAGAAGCTCATATGCTCATATAATTGTAGAAGTTGATGTTCTCGTATCCCTTCAAAATCCCTTCACAGCATTACACTAAGACTCTCAAATTATGAGACAACTTGAAGAGTAACTATCCTAACTTATAATAAACCCACATTAGACAATTTGAAAAGATAATTTTTCTAATTAAGGTTTATTATTCAGAAGAAACCTAACTAAGAGCAAATTAGATGTACTTAACGGCTCATTCTAGCATGTTTAATGTTGCTAGATTAAGAAATGAAGGACTAATTTTAAGAAAGTCAGTAAGCAATTGATGGAGCATATGCAATATTTATTTTGGAAACCATGTGCAGGCACACAATATAGAGATATTGGTGATCTGTGGACAATCCAGAGGACAGTGGCAAAGGCACAAAGCATTACAAAGTACATTTACAAATTACAACCACCAGTGAATGCTTTGATGCAGAAGTTCACAGTTGGTGAATGCTTTGCCACAAAAACCTTATCACCTTGAAGCCTATTCAACGATGAAAGATTGGACTAAAGGCAATGTTCACATCTGCCGACTAGAGCAACTCTATATTCTAATTTGTCTAAGGCAAAAAAAGTGGAGAAGTATATCCTTTCTGGATTCTGGGATATAGTGGTTGATATCATCAATTCTACTGTATCTATAGTTCTTCGAAATTTAATAAGAAAAAGAGACCGCAGTTAGGTTATCTAATTCATCTTATTGGGTCAACTAGGGATGAGATCAGTAGGGTCCTAAAGGATTATTTGGTTGTAGGACAGCCAGACCTTCAAAGATATTTACAACGCAGGTAAGAAAATTAATATTCACAACGCATATTATTTCAACCCGGCATACCAATAACAGCATAACTTGGCCATTAAACTCACATTGTCAGAGTATATACAAAATGTGATATACCGACTTCAACCAAAAAGTGATATGACTGGTGATGCAATAATGGGGGTATAGCATATTAACTTAATTGCTAGTTCATAATCTGGTACTAAATTAAAGTTTGGACCTATCATTAATGTCTCTTGTTATAGGACCGATTGTTTCAGGAAGCTTCCGGCCCTTGGATCCTGGTAAAATAATCCCCAATTATGTTCCACTTATATAAATTGATCGATATTTATGTCTAATACCATACTGGTCTCTTAATGCAGCAGAGTGATGATTACAATTTGGATGACCAACACCAACATGGGTCCACCACATTATCCAGTGTCACAAACATACTGGTAGACATTCCACTTGATTCACACAAAGGTTCACAATCAGCTATTATGCATGGTCTTAGAGAAATTAGTGTGCGTGCACTATATAATGTGCCTGAGGCTATACAGCATGCTGATGAAATTGATAAGCAAATGGAAGAGCCACAGATAGACTTTGAGACGACAATGGAAGAGCCATTCGACTTTCAGTTCTACAATGATGATTTTGAACCGATGATAGATTGATTCCATGCAGCAAAGAACTTAAGATCCTCTACTACATAAGATAAGAACCCCCGTCCATCATTTTTCATCACCGAGACGATACAAGAAGAAGGGGAACATGAGTCAAAAGAGGAGCAACACCCCAAGTGTCAGGATGTAGCCAGACTTCGAGCACGCAATCCCCTGGCAGTCATGGCATATCATAGCATCCTTGATGGCACCAATCATGTGAAGGAATTACATTTGTATATCTAGGCAAACAAAACAAAGTGGATGAAAATTGACATAGTAAAATTAGGCAATTTACTATGTAAATTGACATAGTAAAATGTGGTCAACAGCATTTGTTGTTACCTCTTACCAGTAATTTTAGTTGTGAAGGCTTGCCAAAATTGCCATTGTGCATCTATTTGTTGCTACCTCTTACCAGTAATTTTAAATGTGAAAACTTGCCAAAATTCCCATTATGCATCCTATGTTTACAATGACATCATACTTCGACCTAAATGTACTTCCAATTAGGGAAGCTAAACAATCCCAAAATGAATGTACAGACAATAGCAACCTTCCTAATGGTTGATGAAAATATCACTTACAAATATATATACCATGAATGCCCTTTATTCACAGGCTTACTCTATTAAAATGGATATCAAAGTACATAACGAAGAAATAACTAGGCCAATTACAATAACATATGTACCTGCATAAGATGAGATTGATGCATAACATAGAAATGAAAGAAAAAACAATCTTGGATGAACAACAACCTGTATTCCACCAACATTGTTGTTTAAGCCAACAGCCTCAAATGGGCTGACAACTGGCTTTGCTCCAATTCCAACAATGACCTGCAATTAAATGCATATGATCATCTCAGTAATCTTAATGAAGATCGACACAATACTTCACTAGTTTGTTTGTTCTTTAAAAAAGTTCTCTTTTTTGTTGTGTAAATTTAGAAACTCATTGCATTAACCAGATTCAAATTATTGATCACTATCATTTAACATTTGTGATTGTTGGCCAAGCACTCAAATATAAGATTTCCATCAAGTTAACAGTATTTTGCTTCCCAAGTCTACATAAATATCATTTCAAATTACTTCAACATTCAGATCTGCACTAGAGCTTCAGGAAGGAAAATTAGAATATCTAAACATTTCTTAGGATGGACCCAAGAATTACAATGAAGATGTATGTACCGTATCTGCTTCTATAATAGATCCATTTCTAAGTAAAACAGTAGCCACTCTTCCGTCAGTACCACCTTCCAATTTGTCAATGAGAACTCCCTGAAAAGAGGAAATAAAGCAAGACTTATAAACAGTCAAAGCTTTAGAATATATATGTGTATATATATATGTATGTATATCTATGTATGTATATATATATATGTATGTATATGTATATATATACATATACATATATACATGTATATGTATATGTATATTTATATATGTATATATATATATACATATGCATAAAATATATCTATATATATGTATATACGACACACACACACACACACACATATATCACCAAGACCAATAAGCAAAGTTACCTTGATGAACTTGATACCATTTTTCTGATAAAGCTCTTCGTATCTCCGAGCAAGAGATGGTGTAAATAATCTTGGCATTATACGATCCTCAGGAAATATGATCTATTAAAACAAGTTAGAGATATATATATATGCACAGTGAGAATAAAGAGAAAACCAAAATATGAGTACACGATTAACCATTATCATTGAAATCATAGTCTGGAGGTGTCACAAAAGCAAAAGTTGATACAAGACAAACATAACCTAGTATAAATTGGATAGTGTCTTGATAATCAAGAATAAATATTATCAGGAAATAAACTCCAATAGATAAAATACGGCATTCATATAATGATCATATATTTTTGAGGCAAGTCATGTGGATGTGTCTGCAAGTGTCAAACTTGCTTCCTGCTTTATAATATGGGGAGGCTAAATCATTCTTAATAGTTAATACCATGGTTTGCAGTACCGATCCGTACCGCCCGGTACGGGCGGTACGTACCGGTCCGCCAGACTTTCAGTACGCGGACCATAGGTTACCGTTCCGACACTGCTACAGTGCTCGGCACGCCTGAGTGTACCGCTCGGTACACCTGGGTGTACCGAGCGGTATACCGTACCGTACCGGTACCGAGCCCGGGTCGAAACGCCGGTACGGTACGGTACGGCGAACCTTGGTTAATACTATGCCAAATTTTACAAAAAAATTCAGACAAGTTTTCAACAATTTAAACTGTGAAGTTGCTGTCAATTATTAGTGATGGTTCCCAAAGCTTGGTGGATAGTCAATATTCCACGATGGACAATGCATGATGCTACATGTTATTTGGCATGTTAAGGTAAGAGGCCCACTAATATGCATCAATTATGAACCCATGAAGAAAACTAAATGCACAACTTACAGTAATATCAAGGTTCCAACCAGCAGCTGCGGCAGCTACTTCCATGCCAATATAACCACCACCGATAACAACCACCTTCTTTGCTTTTTCCTGAACGTAAAAGATCATTTATAGGTACAAATTCAAAATTTTCTAAAAATAAAAAAAAGGTTGATGGAAACAGAAAACATGAATGGAACCAAAACCTTCATCTTAGAATAAGAAGAGAACAAGAATAGGCCATAGTAAGATGAAAGTGATGATTTCTAAGATGCACACAGTTAGCTACACAAATCTGAGATGGAAAAGTGAATATCAATCTAGCAAGCAGTTCAGTACATTACAATCAAAGACATTTGTTTTGTGAAAAAACAAAGATTTGTTATTTGAGTTTAACTGGTTTTGACTGTTAAGCCACTGTGACTTCTCACAAAAATATTTTTAGGACAAAAATACAAAGCCAATGACGCCTTGGTAAAGAAAGCATTCTCATGGAAGATTGAATATGTTTCTGCAAATAATTTTCTCATCTAGTTCAAAATAAAGTTATCAGCTTCCTTGTACATATTTAATCAAAAATAAAAGAAACATTTCCAAGAATTATATAGATACTGCTGCACCAAAAAAATGCAGATTCAGAACAATTATAAGGCACAGAATTATGCCTCCAATCTGTTCAATTAATTTGTTATTAAGTCATTACCGAAATTCTTGTTTGAAATCCTATCTCAGCTGGAGTCCTGGACAAGTACCTAAGTGAGCGCCAAGGTGCCACAATGAACGTTAGGTGTGGTGCCTTAAATTGGGTGTCACCTAGGTGAGTGCCACAATGCAGATGATGTTAGGTATCCCAGGCACTCGCCTGGACTGATCCATGTCATCCAAACCCCACAACCTGGTCCAAATCCAATTCATTTTCCCTCCCTCTGAACCAATTGAAGTCCAATTTTCCCTTCACTGTTTCCTCCAGACCCAATGCTGACCTGGTCCAAATTATACAAGCCTCCCAAAAAAGCCAACCTAGTTTAAACCTAATCCCCGAGCAGCCAAGTTAGCTCCTAATGCTCCCAATTGCCCAACACTTGCACTTTGCCCCATCATTCTTTTATCTCCAAACTTCCACCACTAACTTTCAACGCCAGCTGCATCTCCTCTCTTCATCCAATACACCTCTTCCCTCTTATCTCCCTCATCTTTCTGTCCTCTCTCCATGGATGCTCTACTGCTATCGCCCTCTCTTCCCTCTTTCCTCTTCCATCCCACTTTTTCTCTCATCTTCTCTACCTGACCGGCACTCATTGTCGCTGCCCTCTCTTCTTCTCTCCCCTTCCTCTTGTTTGCTACCCCTCTCGTCTTCTCACCTCTCTTTGTAGCTAACAACCATTGGCTGCCTTCTTCTCACTTCTCTCTCGTGCCTTCTCCCTCTTTCTCCTCTCTCCGATGCCCTCCACTATTGTCAAACTTGCTCCTACCTAGGACATACTGAGGATCACAAACTAGGATTGTAGGATCTGATAGTAGATTCCTAAGATCTTAAAATTCATATAAAATTAAATTTAAAATATATACAAGTACTCTTAAATTTTTGTAAATAATATTGTTTATTAAGATTTAGTAACTCTCATATATTCTTAAATCTTAAGTTAATATTGTGTTTTTATTAAAATGAGTGCACAGCTTAATCATAATATCTCTTACTTGAATGAAGAATTTTTTTTTTTTTTGAGGTTTACAACAGTTAAGACATCTCAACTCAAGAATGATACTCATTTACTAAAGTGTAATTGTATTAGTGATGATATCTTTATTGTAATAATTACGAACTTTGTATATCACTAATAGTAATTGACATAAAAATTCTGAGTTATCAATGTAATATTTTGGTTTTCTTTGAACTTGCAAACTGTAACATTTGTTATATTAGTTATCATAATTGAAGTAAAAACATTTGCCATTTCTTCTGTTTTCACATTAATGCATGTGTGCACGAAGATGCCTTATGGAGATTTTCACTTGAAATGCTACACTAGTTGTCGTGGCATGCTTGTAACAGCCACCATTGGTAAATAATCAAACATTATTACAATAATGATTCATATGTTCTTAAGATAATAATTGAAGGTGAATACATAATTTAATAATAACATCTCTTATCTGAATGATTAATAATTTATTGTTTTGTGTTTTATTTGTTTTTCAGGTTTACAACAGTTTGATTGGTCTCTCTTTAATACTAGAGCATCTCAATTCCTCGATATATTCATCTAAACTAAAGCAACATACAGAGTGATTGTATTTGTGATGATATTTTTATTGTAGTATTTATAGAACTTTGTATATTTAGCAATAATAATTGAAGTAGAAACTTTAAATTTGATATGTCATATTTTGGTTTCTTTGAACACCTGAAACATAACATTAGCATCTTTTCTTGAACATGGAATTTAAAGCTCAAAAACATGTTGTCCTGAATTAATCCTAGCATACAACAACAACAAATCTTAATGTCCTGGCTATTCGGGGTAGATTACATGGATCTTTGCCTAAATCCTAACATCACAAATAATATTTTTAACCAACCATACATATAAGCTCGCACTAATGACAAATTATGTTAAGCATGCCAATGAGGCCAATGAGTATAAAAAACATCACATACTAATTTCATATTGTCTGATAACATTACATGAATCTCCCTTTAAAATTATGTTCAAAAGAAAAACAAATAAGTTTAAAATGCAATATGCACACCAAGCTGCTAATTTGCTAAGAAAAAATCTCTTTGAATCGGCTGTGAATATACTTCTCATTAGGCAAATAGGCACACCAATTTGTCTCATTAGTCACTATCATCTCATGTTAAAGGAGCCACATGCATGAAAATGAGACACCATGTTCTGCATCTCATATGCAACCCTAACCAAACATGGTTATCAACATGATCTATCTTAAAAAAACTTGCCATATACTGGAATAACAAAATGTTACATCTAAAACAGCATATTTGCTATTGCAGCAAGCATTTCTTAAATTTCCCAAGGAAACAATTCATATCCTACTTTCCAGATCATGTAAACAAAAAAGAATTCCTACACCGTTTAAGATGAAAGCACAATGAGCGGGATTCAAGTAGTCTACAGATATTAAAAGGAAAAACATCTGCCAATATTATGTAACATGAGACACAATTTAAGAGATTAACTATGCTTCTCTAATACACTGATGAACCACTACCCTGGAACATGGGAATGATCACACTAAATAAGACAAAGTATTTGCAGAAACAACAAGAGTACCAATGAGGACACTAAAGAATCAGCATCAGCAACATCACGAATGTAATGAACACCTGGTAGGTTTCCTCCAATGTTTTCTGGAAATCTGGAAAGTAAAAGAATCCAGTTAAAACACAGTACAAGTTAACCATCAATATACACATAAACACAAAGAATAATGTTGGAATGGAGATCATCCCGAAAACCATTATTGTTATGCTATGCACAGGACGAAATCTCCTGAATGTGAATGTTGCTTATTTCATACATATAAGTTGGTGAGGTGATGATGATGATGTTGAGTCTGCAGCAAACTTTGTGTATCATAAAATCTCTGAACTTCATATAATTACTTTTCTCAGTAGAGCAGATCTGCATTTCATTTTTTTCTTTGTAAAAGCACCAAAGATGCAATTAATCAATAAAGTCTTACATATTTTTCCATAAATGCAATGACTTCTGTATGATAGGAAACTCAACTAAAATATGGAATCTAATATGTAATACCTACTCACGAAGGTCAGTTTTTATAAGAAATGGCATTTTATCACTTTCCTGGGAATATCTTAGTCCAAGTGGGGCAGGCTTTGATGTCCTACAAAGTGTTGAACATCATGTATGCATGCACACACATACATGGTGTGTGTGTGTGTGTGTGTGTGTGTGTGTGTGTGTGAGTGAGTGAGTGAGAGAGAGAGGATGGGAAGTAAAAAATCCACTCGTAATTAGATGTGATAATCCTTCTTCCAGTTCCAAAGCATGTAAGTATTGGTGCAAGTAAGGGGAGTTGAGACGATGAATATCTATTCTCCTCCCTACTTGGAGAGCTCTGTTTGGTTCGGAAGGGAAAATTGGACATAGCTATATTTTAAGTTTAAAAATTTTAGGAAATCTACTCTTGAATGCTTTTCTTCATAGAGATTGAGACAGACTGGCTGGAAGCAAATTCATCCGATTGGAATGCAGGTAATGCAGGTTCAAGTTGACCATTGAATCTATAGTAATTTCTGTATTAAAGCAGTTATATGTAAAAAAGTTAATTGATGGAAATTTGACTTCGAAGGAAAAATTTGAGCAAACCAAACAGATTGTTAATCAATGAGCATCAATTGGGAAAAAGATAATTGTTGTAGCATGAAGTTCGAGAAGATTGATGCAAATTTAATTTGATTTAAGCACATTTTAGCTACAACCAGTAGATGATGAGAAAAATAGTGGAAACATCATATCAAGATCTAGAACTTTAGAAAGAAAGAGCAGGCACCATGCTTTTTCTTTTTAATTCAACCTCATGGATCAGGGAAAAGCAAAAAAAATAGAAGAGAACATTTTTATTATTTTGATAAGAATACATAATTTGGTGTGCAATGTTCTTCAACCCATAAATTGCCATTTCATGTACCAGACCGATACTGGTTTTTCAGTGGACAAATACATATTAGTCAGTACAGTATTGGACCAACCAAATGCCAACTAATATGAGTCAGTCATGCTATCAAGGTGTGATCGCACACCCTTGGTACAACCATGGGACTCATACCTGGTAATAGAGCAGAAAAAGACATTATGATTGATATGCCTATGTACATAAATCCATGCATGTTCAAACAATTACTTTCATAAGGACTAATACACTTACCCTAATTTTATTTGCATTTTCCTCTTCTATTGAAGTTCTTATATATTAGCTCTAAAACTGTGCCCTATATGAAACTTTTATAATTATAAAAATTTTAAAATTTATTAATTAATCAAATAGATTCCAAGTATAGACTATAGAATATATGTATAGATCTAGCTTGTTTTTATCTGTTATATAAATTATTTAGAGATTTCTACTATTTGTTAGACATCACTGGAACTCCAAAGGTCCATAACAGAATACTCATCAAAACTAAAGTTTTCCAACATATTTAAACAAAATAAAGTTCTGAATCTAAATAACTTACTAGGCGTAGTTTATAATATCTATCCCATATAACCAATCAGACTAGTACATAATGGTCAACATGGTATTGGTAGTAATCACCATGCCCCTGAAAATATTGAAATATTAAACTAGTTTCAAATTTACGGCTGTACCATCATATAATGGCATATGGTCCCTGATTGAACCAGTAGGAAGTAAGCAGTCACTTGGCATACCATGATATTCAATAATCTTGTTGGTAAGAATGTGAACATTGTTACTGAACACGAATGCAAGTCCTCCCACATTTCATACAACTTCCATGACCTGTGCCCCCAAACTAGTTCCTGAGAGTGCTTACCAGTAGGAAGCAAGCAGTCACTTGACATACCATGATATTCAATAATCTTGTTGGTAAGAATGTGAACATTGTTACCAAGCATGTTTGCAAGTCCAACATTTTGTACGACTCCCATGACCTGTGCCCCCAAACTAGTCCTAAGAGCCCCTACCAACAGAACTTCTTGCCCCGATCAAGAAAAAAATGACTGTTCCTCATGAATGGGAACCCTCTTGGTTGATTGCATGAGTTCCAAGGGATTCAGTGACTCAGGAAGGTAACAAGTTAGTTTGGGTGCTGGTTGAAATGGAATGCAGCTAACTATTAAGGGTATTTCAGTCAAATCATATAGGGTTTAGCTATTAAATATAACAAAATAACCTGTTAGCTTTAGAAAAATGTCAAGACTGATCTTTATGTTTATATATTTTCCAGTAATTTTCACAAAATATTAATTAAATTTACCTTTAAATTAGTCAATTGAAGACCTTTCTCTTCCTCAAATTAAAAAAAAACCTTAGGATGGATTATAATAGCAGTTTAGTATCCAAGTGAGGTCTGCTCAACATTCTTGCTCAACATTACTTAGGATGGATTATAATAGCTCTTACTGTTGTGAAATATGTGAGAGAAGACTCTCCAAGATCCTTTTTGGGGTTTCAAACAATTCAAAGCTTAAAAGTGTCTCACATTCAAAATTGTCTAGCGTGCTGCTCAAGTTTAAACACTTGAAAAGCAAACAAATTTAATCATATCGCCCAATGGGATATTGAATTCTAAAGATAGCAGTGTGAGGGTTCCATGTCAATATCTGAGGGGCGCACACCAGTTAAAGCATGGTAAAGCACTATCATCAACAGAACTAGAGTGGCGGAGACAAGGAAATATTAAGTGCACCTTAGATAGCACATCACTGCAAGGTACAACGACATTAGTGCTTGAGCAAGCAATAGCCAGCCATGCAATCTGATGCCCTCACAGACTAGTCCATCAAACCCAACTGTCATGGTCGTGCCCATAGGTGGAACTACTGATGAAAGTCATGTACCACTATACCAGCAATAGCCACATCCTGCATCGGTCTTTGTAATTACAAGTACAATGCTGTCAACCGCATAGCAAGGAAAGACAAAGACAACACTACCAAAACCCTAGTATGTACACAACTCTAGACCATGCAAATTAGGTAGCATCATCAAGGGAGGCCAAAAACCCAGTGAATCCTGCATGTTGCTTGTTTCGGCAATACCAATGCCTCTAGATGTTGATTATGCAGTCCCACCACCTCCATTGCCTCCAAACACCAAATTAACAAAGCAAAATTAGGCCCCTATGAAGGAAAAGCGCAGCAACATAATCCTTCCATTATCTTGGGGGAAGCACCACATAATAATAGAAGTGCTGCACCACTTTCTACGCTGATCTACACCAAAATCTACAATTTTTTCCTCACACAGAACTTGCATCACAAAATATAGAGCATCTACAAGAGCATTTTTAGCATAGAAAAATAAGGTTCTCCTAAATTTAGCAAAGGCAATCCCATTATTGCACTGACTATAAATTCTTCCTTAAATTGTTTGCACTTGGACACCACTATCTACACCTACCTTACAAATAAAGTATGACAACAAGGAGTTATTATGGAGAATGTTTGTATGTCCTCACATACCCACAATGCCAAATACCCGGCCACATTTTTCAAGCATTTCAAACCAGGACACCTCCAATTTAAGCCAAGGACTCGTCCAAGGTTTTGATAATCCAATTTCCCATGAGGGGCGGGGGGGTCGTCCTATTCGTAATCACACAAACCCCTAAAGACTCGTTAAGGGCAAATACCTGCAACAAGTTAATTTAGTTGGGAATTTAAGCCAGATGGACAACAGTTTATTATCAAGGGTATTTAGTCGTAGCCAAATATCATAAAGTGTGGCTATAGTAATTTCAAGTAAAAGCCTAGAAGCCCTAGAAACATGCCAAAACTGCTCTTTACATAATTCTTTCAGTAATTTACAGCATAATAGTATTTCAGTCTCATCATAGATTAATAACTTAGAAGCCTTTATCTTGTTGAATAAGAAAAACTGGAGGTAATTGTCCTACAAACATATCAAACCATATACAAGTCTTCTTACTGATGACATAAGAATTTAAACTAGTTAAAATTTCAATGCTCAATGACTGACAAAAAATATCGCAAAACCATGAAATAGAAAAGATAAGTGGCAACCAATATCTCAGGCTCTCTAACTTAAAGTCATGGATTACCTTACAGCCGCGCAACCAGTGGAAATTATAAGAGAGCCATACTTAAGATGGTTGCCTGATGATGTCGTTAATATCTGATTCTGGATATCAATGGCAGCCACTGGATCTTCGTATAGGACCTTTTACAACAGAAGATTGTCTTAAAGAACATAACATGTCGATAATCCAAAGAGAACCAAGAAGAAAGAACATAATAGAAGAAATAATTGTAATTCAACTAACTCAAATGCAATGTGTTTTCCACTTGAACATGAGAAATACAAATCCAACAATTTAATGTTCTTAAAAAATTTTCAAGGGAAGAACATAGTGTTTAATTAGAATAATCCTTGGGTGATCCAGGGAATCCTAAATTACTTTTTGCTCATAAGAAATGAATGACTTCTTAAATTGAAAAAAAGACTTTTATGGCAGGTACAGGCCTAACTTAGATTAGCAGTCAGCACATCAACCAGCAAATCAAACAAATATGGTCCAGATGTGTCAGATTCTTGAAAACCATTTATTTCTTGCACATTCTAGGGATTTATGCATTGTCAAATAGAGATCTTCAAGATATAAAAATTATATTTTATGACTCGGTATTATCTTTCCTACCCCCGTACTCTGATTTTACCCCTCTCTTCCTCTTCTCATTACTTTTTCTACTACTCTCTTGCTTTTTAACTAGATCAGACCAGAAGCAGATTCCATAGTGGAATTGAACTGAATCAGTTTCAAAAGTTTGGATAAGCCTATCGCAACAAGTCCCAATTTATTTGATAATTATTTCAAGAAATCAGCATTTCTCATATTGGAAGCGATAACTAGAGGAAAGTTGCTGTTGTGATCAGCCTATTATGGAAAGCTGCTTTAAATTCTGCTTAACAGTCTCATTCAACAATAGCAAAAGCAAAATAAGTGGAAGATTATAGGACATTGAATAGATTCTTTCAGCCTTAGAAGAGTTTAGGTCGAGTATCATTTGAATTGCGTCCAGTATATTTTCCATTTTAAACTGTATTGGAATTGTATCTAGGTCACATTGTTGCTTACTTGACATGCTTTAGACATAAACTATGTTGTAAAAATCATTGTCACCATTGTAATTTTTCAATAACAAGCTATTATGATAACTAGAGAGCTACGATACCCGCCTTTTGTGGCTTTCCTAGGACCACAACAATCCACTTGGCAATTATCATTTGCTTAAATGTTTGGGCAGTTGGCAGCACCTAGGTGGACTATTAATCTCACCATCTGGTCAGAAACATCCTTAGCATAGCATATTCCTTGAGTGATGAGAACGAAGCCACATCAAATGAGTGATGAGAATGAAGCCACATCAAAAGAGTGACCTTTATATATCAAGCTTCACCATTTCATCTTCTTTCCTAAATTGTTCCCTAATCCTCCCCTCTTATTTAAAAAATTCACCTTATTGTTGACTAATATGAAGGAAGTATTGTGCAACTAAAAGGCTAGTTGGGTTAAATTGGATGACATGATGTCATGAACTTTGATTGTTTATTCAAAAATAAAAGGAAAAGTTGCATTTTACTATATTAGACACACGCTCTAAGTCCCACAACAAAAATAGCACAAGTTTCTTTAAAATCAAATCAAAGAGAACTTAGCTTGAAGGATGTGTTTCTCTACAGACCATATATTGATGATAGCCACTTAATGCTCATGTTAAGACTTTTTATTCATGACAACAATCAGTGATTGAAAAAGGCGCTCGGGCGCTCACCTAGGCGCTCGGGCGAGGCGAGGCGAGGCGAGGCCCGAGTGCCTCGCTAATCTCCCAGGCGACGCGCTTCAAACAGGCACCGCCTGAGCGCTCGCCCAAGCCCAGGCGTTGGGCGCTTCGGGCAAGCGCCTGGGTAAACCAAGGCAACCGAACCAGGATTTTAGGTCTGGTTCGGTCCTGGTTCGGTTGGTTAGTTGGTTTAATCGAACCAACTAAACCGATATAACCCTTGCCCAACCCTAACCCACTGCCGCTGCCACTCCCGATCCCGATCCCGATCTCGTTGCTCGCCGCTGTCGCTGCTCGCAAACGCTGCCGCTGTCGCCGCTGTCGCTGCTCGCAAACGCTGCCTCTATCGCCGCTCGCGCCTCCCACTGCTCGTCGCTCCTGTCGCTGCTTACAAACGCTGCCTCTGTCGCCGCTCGCGCCTCCCACTGCTCGTCGCTCCCGCTGCCGCTGCTGCTGCCACTGCCGTTGCTCGCCGCTCGCCGCTGCCGCCGCTCGCCGCTACTTCCTCGTTTCTAAGTCAGCAGGCTCAGATTAATTTTCAATACTGTTAATAGATTAATAATATATTATTTTGATTTTAATGTTGTTAATTTTTATTTATTTGAAATTATTGCTAGGTTTCAACATAAATGGCAAGTGTAGAGAGCAACTCAATAGAGACTCCAATGGTATCAAAAAAAGATCCTGCATAGAAGTATAATTATTTGAAGGATCCGAAAGATCCTAATGCAGTGACTTGCATATTCTACGATAAGACTACTAGAGGTGGTATTTTTCATGCAAAACAACATCTAGTAGGAAATTTCAAGAATGCAGCAGCTTGCAAAAAATGTTCATCTGAGGTAAAAGAAGAGTTGCTGAGTTATATGAATGAAAAGAAGATACAAAAGAATGAATCTTACGAGAATTTACCAGAAGACAATGTTGAACATCTCAGGGATGAAGAAGATTATTCTATGAGTATTAACCCAAGTGAAAAAAGTGTATACGACAAAAAAGGAAAAGAAGTTATGAGTACTAAGAAAGGTAAAAAAGGACCGATGGATCTATATATGTTTCAAGGATCCCAGAAACAACAAGGGCAAGCAGGAGGCTCAAAATTTAGACAAACAAATATAAGTGATGCTTGTGATAAAGAAATAAGAGGAAGAACAATTCAGCACATTGCTCGCTTCTTCTATCAGGCTGGTCTTCCCCTTAGTACAACTCGTTTAGACAGTTTTAAGGATATAATTGAAGCTATTGGAAGATATGGTGCCGGATTAAAACCTCCAAGTTATTATGAGATACGAGTTCCATTGCTGCAAAAAGAGTTGAATTATACAAATGACTTACTAAAGGGTCATAAAGAATCATGGGCAACACATGGTTGCTCTATTATGTCAGATGTTTGGACTGACAGGAGGTGCAGGAGTATAATTAATTTTATGGTTAATTGTTTGTTTGTGAAATCAATAGATGCTTCATCTTTTGTAAAATCTGGAGACAAGATATATGATTTACTTGACAACTTCGTGGAAGAAATTGGAGAACAAAATATCGTTCAAATCATAACCGACAATGGAAGCAACTATGTTTTAGCTCGTAATATTCATCTTTTGATTTTGTTAATTATTTTATCTTCAATTAAGTGTGTTAAACTCTTAAGTCTTATCATTTTTGTTATCCTTTGTCTCAGGTAAATTGCTTGAATCAAAAAGATAACACTTGTATTGGACTCCATGTGCAGCACATTGTATTGATTTAATGTTGGAGGATATTGGAAAGATCTTAGAAATCAAGAAAACCTTAGAAAGGGCAATTTTTATTGTTGGATTTCTTTATAATCACATTAGGGCTTTGAATATGATGAGAGAATTTACAGGGAATAAAGAATTAGTGAGACATGGTGTCACCCGATTTGCTACTTCATTCTTGACATTACAGAGCGTGCATCGTCAAAAACATACTCTGAGAAATATGTTTACCTCTAAGAAATGGGTGACAAGCAAATGGGCAAAAGAAGCAAAAGGCAAGAGGGCTGCTAATATCATCTTAATGACATCCTTTTGGAATCATGTAGTTTATATATTAAAGGTAATGGGCCCTCTTGTTCGAGTCCTTCGGTTGGTAGATAATGAAAATAAGTCTGCAATGGGATATATTTATGAGGCTATGGATAGAGCAAAGGAGACGATTAAAAGATCTTTTAATGAAAATGAAGAAAAATATGAGAAAATTTTTACAATCATTGACGAAAGATGGAATTGTCAACTTCATCGTCCCTTACATGCAACAGGATATTATTTGAACCCTGAATTCTTTTATAAGATTAAATCTGTTGGATTTGATGCAGAAGTTTTAGGTGGGTTATATCAGTGCGTTGCAAGATTAGTTCCCAGCCTTGAGATTCAAGATAAGATTATTCATGAATTATCTTTATATAAAAATGCCGAAGGTCTTTTTAGAATTCCAATTGTCATTCAATCCAGGACAACTACGTCTCCAGGTATTAATAATTTGATATAATTAATTTCATATATATTATATTACTATATTATTGCTAATAATAACATAAATTTTGCAACTGAATGGTGGAGTCTATTTGGAAATTCTACCCCGAACTTACAGCAATTTGCTATCAAAGTACTTAGTTTGACATGTAGTGCTTCAGGTTGTGAGCGAAACTGGAGTGTCTTTGAGCATGTAAGGATTACTAAATATTTTTGTTTTAATTTATTTATTTATTTAGATATATGTATTAATATATTTTTAAATTATATGATATGACAGATTCACTCGAAGAGAAGAAATCGGTTAGAACATCAACGATTGCACGATCTTGTTTACATAAAATATAATCAAGCTTTGAAGACTCGTCATGATTTGCAAAATAGATTTGATTCAATCTCATTGCAAGATATTGATGATTCAAATGAGTGATTAGTAGGAGAAATGGATGCTAACTTACAAGATGCTGAAGACGAGCTTGTATTTGAAGATGATAGATTGACATGGGGAGATGTGGCAAGAGCTTCAGGTGCTAGAGAATTACAAACATATACAAGACAGATGTCAAAGAGAAAAATGAGTGCAAAGGCATCAAGCTCGGCTCCTACTATTATTGAAGACATAGAAAATGAAACATATCTTGATGAAGAGGAAGGAATCGAAGGACAAAAGGAAGAAGACGAATTCAACGAAGATGATTTGTGTGAAAATGACGATAATATTGATTATGATGAATGACTTTGATGTAAAATTTTATTGTTTTGAATTTTGAAACTTTTTGTTAATGTGACATTGTGATTTTGTATCTTAGATTTTCTTAATTTAATAGTATATTTTTATTTAAAATTTTAAATAATTATATTTATTAATTATATTATATATTTTTATATTTTAGCGCCTCGCTTCGCTCGGGCGAGCGCCTAGCGCCTCGAGCGTTTTTGGACCTTGGCGTCTTTTGGCGCCTAGCACTTTTTAAATCACTGACAACAATAAACAATTGCTGAAGTCAATTTGAATAAAAATAAACAACCATAAAGCAAAAATTACTTTACACATACCTCAATTCCATGCTCCTTGTACCATTCTGAGGTTTGCCTCTCACCACCAGCTCCAACACAAGTATGAAATCCCTAATACAAAAAGAATTCTGCATGTTTCAAATCTTGTGTAAAATATAGGTCAATGCATCTCTGCAAAATAATGCTTGAGCCAAAAATTTCTTGTGATATTTACTTCTCCGAGTTAACCTTTCAAAACTCACAAGTATATATTACAGACTAGCAGCTTCAAGTCACTTTGTATAAAGAATTGATTATTATATAGTTCTTTAGAAGTGCTAGCATGAAAACTACAATGCAGATAGTATATTCTAACTCCACTCTGAAGCCATCCATATCACGTTATCATTCTCCATTAACTTTGAATTATTCATAAGCAAAAAGGACATTAATGTAAAATATTGACAAGGTTGGAAAGTTCTTACAGGTAGGCGTGCCGGCTTCTTATCTAGCGGAAACAAATAACCTTTAGTCAAAGCTGGTCGCTCGTATGGTGCAACAGCCTGAATGATTAAGAAAATTTATCACGCAAGTTGACAATCTTAGGTATGAAAAGAGATACCTAAATTTGGACCGGCAAAATACATGAGTTGCCTAATAAAAGGAAATCGTAAGTAGCATGTGCTTGTTGTTAGATGAGCAGCAGGACATTAAATTTACAACTGAATATTCAAGATGAGAATTCTTCCATCAAGAACAAAAATGAAATACAAGAAAAAAATATAGCCTACTCCATTGGCTTGGAAGTAATGACTCGGAAGCAAAACTACCAAAATACAAATCGATGGCCCATTCATATGCACAGATAATAGCACAAATGACTTTATATTAGGTACAAATAACTTACAGTTGTCGCTTTGGCAATACATGGCACACATTATACTAGAGAAGACCCAACAAAAGAGGAGGGAATCAGAAAAAGATTTACATCCTCTGACTTAGAATTGTGGCCATAAATGTCCTTTTTTACCAAATCCATGCTACAAGCTGTCCCACTTCTAGCAGGTGCTCATGTATCTGTTACCAACCATTATCTCCGGATAATGGTCCAAGAGTCCAAGCCAATGCAACTTCAGTTTCAGAAAATTATTACTATTTTCAGAAAATTATTGCTATTTTCATCATCATCATCATCTATTTATGGCAGACAAATATATGAGAAGAGAAAAATGATTTCATGAATGCTGGAAATACAGAAGGCAAACTTTACCGATCAGAGATGCAAGAAAATCATGTATGAAGAACGATTTGAAAATGCACTAGAGCAAAAATGATGGACATGATGGAATTTGCAGGCTTCTGTTCACTTAACACAATTTCTTCCAACATCATCAGATTTTAAAGATCATAATTAAAAGTACTTCCTTATCTCTTAGTAAAAGCTTCTACATATTCCTCATCTCAAATGCAGAATCAAAGCAGTTAAAACTGAGACAAGCTTAAAAAGGATGCGATCACAAGAAAGCAAGCAGTCTTTGCACGATTTATTAACAATGACCGCTACAAGAAGCTCGATTCCTTCACAAAAACTAAAAAACGTCAACTTGATCATCAGCTACCTCTTTGGAAACGATACAGAGCCGGCCGTCTGCCATCCCATGCTCGACAAAAGTCCGAGCAGCATATCCCGCAGCATTGCCCCCACCGACTATAACATATCTGGTAAAAAGAAGCAAAAATTCCAGAGCCACCGTATAAGCTCGCTGAACATGCGAAGGCAGAGGAATATAGCGGAAAAAGTAGCGCACTCGCGGTTCTCATTGGCGAAATTGGAGGCAGCAGCGGCGACAACGAGCGATCTGCGTGAGGTAGGAGTGGATGGAGGGCGACGGGAGGGCCACCACGAAGAGGTCCTCTGCTGGAAAGCACAGGAGGAGAAGGGAGAAGTCGACATTCGTCGGAGAGCTGCTCTTTGTTATGTGCCAAAGAGAAGTAAAATAAGGGGAAGGAGGAAGCAATTACAGATGGTAAACAAAGGGTATAGAAGAAAGACCTGAAGACATAGGAGGGGAAGGAGAGAGAGAGAGAGCGCTGTGATTTATGTTCTTTTGCCTCTTGGTTTCCTCTCTTGTTTAGTGCTTGGATTTGCTTTCAGGGTTTCGGGGGGCCGCTGGCTCCTGCAGAGGGCCAAAGGTCGGGAGAGGAGAGAAAGGTGGAGCCCCGATCGATTGCCAGCGGAACAGAAATATGTTGGTGAGTCGATCTGATCTGAACGCAGGAATTTGTCGTGGAACGCAACGATGAAAAGACTGCGTTGGGCAAATCGTCGGTAAAACCCAACAAATGACGGCGGACCATTTTAGCAGGCAGCTCAATCAATTTTAAATATTTATTAGATTTTCTGAGCCCTCCCCACATTTTCAAAATGTATGCATAGTGAGTGCCCTTTACAGGATCCAAATGCGGATAATTTCAATGTTGACCCCAAACAAAAAAGTTACAATGTCTTAGTTCATTATCCAGAAACAGTGAAGGTAATAAAAAAAAAACATTGTAACTAGCAATTGTCTCATATTTAATTGTTATCATTCTTCTGTAAACATATGCTTTCCAAGTAAAATAAAGGAGTCATATGTTTCAGCGTAGCATCATATCATATCTAGAATAGAGGAGTTTGTTACTTGCATTGTTTGGTCAGTGATTCAGCCAAGGGCAGATGCAAGATTGACATACAACACAATGTATACATAAACAACTAGTAAAGAAACAAACTGTTTTTGATGAATATACATACAGCATTTCTACTAATTATTTTAGGAAATGGTCCTCCAAGTGACTTTCGTAGTTGGCTATAAGTGCTTAATGTCTCATACGAAGAAGATACCTACCTTCTACATGCAAAAATGAAGTTTTGTAGGCTTTCATTTGTCTTTCTTGTATTACAGGGAGTCTTTTGCAGTCATGTAAACATTTCAATCTATTCCAATTTGTTCTCCTTCTTCACCGTCTCTTTGTGTTGGGTTCAACCCATACGTGGGCCTGAACAATTTGGCCAATTGAGCTTATTGAGTCCAATTCTTCACCGTCTCTTTGTGTTGGGTTCAACCCATACGTGGGCCTGAACAATTTGTTTCTGAGAAATTGAGAAATTAAAAAGAGGAGAGAATGTGAGAAAAGGAGATCAGATTGTAGCGTGCAGCGTGCGGCGTGCAGGAGAGAGAAAGATTAGGTTTCTGAGTTTTCTGCTTGACGATCGGTGGCCAAACATTGTCAGTTTCGGTCCAAATTTTATGTGAAGAATCCTTGCAGAAAATTCTACAATCCTAATGGTGTTGATCTGCAGTTTACCCTCTCTAAGGTACTTTCCTACGATATCTATTCTGTGAGACCTAGAATTCTCTTTTGAGGAGATTCATCCTACATGATGATGAAGATATGTTATTGTTAAGCCAATATGTATGTTCTTGATATTATTCTGATCCTTTAGTTATTCTAGAAAAGACCTACTGTAAACCTGTTATCATTATTATTAATAGTGGAAATTTGAGGTGGACTACGGTCCGTAGTTTTTTTCCACATTGGGTTTTTTTAAAAGATTTGATCTCACTTATTTGTTCTATTGTTTATGCTATGCTGGTTGATATTTACATTTGGAGTATTTTGATGAAAACCCATTTTGATACATAAATAGGGAAAAAAATATTTTGCTTTAACATATTTTTCTCAACACTTTGGTCCTTTTCTGTTTCCTATTTATTCATCTCTCACCCTCGAGAATTTAATGCTCGAAAGGTCCTAAAGTAGTCTTTATCGGTTATTAGTTTAAACGGTGGCATTGTCCTCTGCATGGCTCAGTTGCAGCGAGAGACCTTATTATTGCTAATCCCAAATAGTAGAGACTTTTTGGCTTGTTGTTGTATATTAATTCGTGATCTTTTGCTGGTGCATTGAATATAATTTGCGCATCTAATTGCTGCTAAAGTTCCAGTTATACTTGAAACTGTGTCCGGTGATATGGCAGCAGATGATTCGATGGTAAACGTCATGGACATTTTGCTGCCGAAGGGCAGTGCTCATGTGCTTCCAGTTATTCTTTACCTTCCTGGAAGCTGCTCATCATCCTTTAAGCACAGAGTAGTGAGCAGTCATGTTCTTCTTCAGTTGGCAAATCTGGTTAAATTCCTAGAGGTACCCTTTCAGGTACAGGTCACTTCTGAGGTCTCTAATTCTCAGTTATCTAAGCATATGCAATGCTTGAATTTTTTTTTTTTAATTTAATAATACTTGTTTGTTTGTGTTTTTCAGAACACAGTTTTCCTATTGCTAAAAACTATATATATATATATATATATAAAGATTCATCCGGGAACAAGTTTGTTGTTTTTAATAATTTCTACCAGAAGTAACTAAAAACAAAGATACAGAGAGCAATTTAGAGTTTATTAGTCGGAATTGTGTTGTCCATATATTGTGTAAGCATATATCAGATGTAATATTTAATGTTTGCAGTCTAATGTTATAAATGTACATAGCATTCACAGATAGCATAAAATATGATGATTTAATGATAAAGAGCATTTTGATAATATATTATTCTATGGTAACATATACGTTGTAGCTTATCATATAATATGTGAAGTAAAAGGCATGAAAATATATTACATATCATTTCATATAATAGATTATATTGTGCTATATAGCATTATGTTATAATAAATGTTCCTATATTGTTCCTCACATACTGTTCTCCGATTTGACAATAATTATCTAAAATAGAAGCTTAAAGCTTGATTCTTGTAAAATAAGAAAGAAAGTATTCTCAAAAAATATATTTGATAGTGGTCCTCGACGACCCTTTGCGGAGAACATGTTCGGAGTGGTTTTCCAAGGTTCTTGTTGAGAAGAAATGATTAACTGAGTTTTTATTAATAGTAATTATGAATTTATATATATATATAAAGAGATATTATAAAACATAGTAATTACATAATTTTTTAATAATAATAAATATAAAATATATATTAAATTATTTCGTAATTTAAGAGATCATGTTGAGATCATGATCTTCATTATTAATAGAATCATGATAATATGTTATCATAATTTCTATGATTTAGAATCATAATAACGTAGTATCAAAATAATATATTATCATGATTCATGGTTCTCAATAATATCTTTTCTAATATGCCCCCGTAAAATGATGCTCCCATTAGAGACACCGATCTTAGATTAAAGTAGAAGGAATTGCTGGTGAGGTAGAATCTTGGTAAGAGCATATGCAAGTTGATTAGAAGATGAGACATGAAAGATGTTAGGATCGCAAGGGGACGAATTAGTTCTTTCCGAATAAAATTTTGATTTAAAAATTTTTGATCGAAAAATACATATGTTTACCTTAGAATGTGAGTAAGAGTAGTGAGTGACTAAATCAGTTAGTAATACTCAGGAAAAGTATAAAGTGAAATGTAAATTAGATTTATAGTGGTTCGGTTGTCCCGACCTACGTCGACTCTTAATTTCTCTTCCCTCGAGGTCATTGGATTTTGTTGAATCTCGGATTTTGATGTTGAAATCAATTGATGAAGTTATGATTTAATATGTGTTTGAGTGATGTAGGACTATCTTCGATTAGAAAAGGTAAATTGATTGAAGTAGGAAGACTCGGATGTTAGGCCAGAGTGAACATGCTAGATGATTGGATGTCGGGCCGGAGGATCGATCGATGTGTTGGCAGAAGGACTTCGTGCCATGATTTTGAGCATCGAGCCGAAAGATCGAACATTGTGCTAAGGAGATCGAATGTTGTGGAAGGTCAACAAGCCGATTGGACAATACGTCGAAGGAGATGATGATGCACCAAAGAATCGGATGAAGCACTAGATGAACCAATAATATGCCGGACAACATATGATTCATGCTTGTAATCATTTATCTAGATGGAAGTAGTTTAGGAGGTTAATTGAGTTAGCTTTTGGTGTAGTCATGCTAACTCAATTAGGGGCCAATTGGGCCTAAATTGAGACTATTTTGGGGCAAGACGAAGGCCCATTCAATGACCCAAAAGTTGGGTCAAGTGGTGGCATCGCCAAACTAGCGGTGGAACCACCTATGAGCTAAAAAAGTTAAAAGCTCAATCTTTGAGGTTATCAGGCAGTGGTACCGTCAGATTGGGTAGTGGTACTCCTGAGTGTCAATGTGTTAGATGGTGGTACCGCTAGACTAGGCGGTGGTACTATTAGGATTGAGTCGGCATTAAAAGAGGGGTGAATTAGTTCTTATGATAAAAATTACATCAAATGTTTCAATTTAAACCTGTATCGAAAATGTGTTAATCGTAAAGAAGGTGTGAAGGGGAGTAAGCAGCCAAGTCAATAAGAAATATGAAGAAAAAGCAGAATAGGAATGACAAAGTAGAGATCATACCAGATTTATAGTGGTTCAGTCGTCGTGACCTACATCCACTCCTGATTTCTCGTCCGTTGAGGCCACCGACGTCCACTAATGGTCATCCTTCAATGGGCAAAGACCAACCATCCTCTTACAACACTTTCTTCTTTTCATGGGTTTAGGAGATAACCCTTACAAGCCTCACACCTCTCTTGAATGATCATAAAACTAGAAGGCAAGGAGGAGGACACTTAGTAATTTTACAATCTAATATCTCAAGAGTTTTGTTTACACTTTCGTTGCTATTTTATGCAAGAAGGAATGAGGTATTTATAGACCCAATGGCTTCAGAAATGGACCAAAAAGTATCTTATCCCGGGTTTCCGGGGTACTGGCAGTACCACCGCCTACAGACTGACATTAGGTGGTACCATTGCTTAGTCTGGACGGTACTACCACTTGACATAGCCTTAGAGACTGGGCTCTAGTAGTACCATGCCTGACAACAATAAATGTCATCGCCTAAACCATTTGGGAGGTAGAGCCTCAAGCGGTTTCACTACCCAGTCTGGATGGTGCCACCGCTTGACATGGCTCTAAGTGGCTGAATGGGCCATCTAGCTAGCCCAATTCAACCCAATTATAGGCTCAATTAGTCCCTAATTGAGTTAGTAGGATTTCTCCCAAAACTAACTCAAGTCAAAGTCCTAACTACGATAGTTAAGGCTAAAACAATTATTCTACTTGCAATCTAAGTTGTCATGCACGTCAATAGTTTAATCGAACTCTTGGTAAACTTCCGACGAACTCCAGGCAATCTTCCAGCAAACTCCCGATGAACCTCCGATGAGCTTTCGGTGAACTCCCGATGAACCTCCGGTGAGC